AAGTAGCGAAGAGCAATGTGCTTCGTTCTGTGCTCCAGTCTGTGCTCCCGACACAAGGCCAGCATGGCCTTGTTGTCTACGTACAGAACTGGAGGAGAACGAGGCGGCTCTCCAAGGTCAGTCAGCAAGTAGGTGAGCCAACGTAAATCCTGTGCAGCCATGGCCCCTGCGTAGATCTCGGCCTCACAGCTGGAGCTGAGAACAGAAGACGAGCGGGTAGACCGCCACGAAACAGAGCCGGAACCAAGGCTGAAGATGTAACCCTGTGACGACCGCTGCGTAGCCAGGTCGTCCACCCAAGACGCGTCTGCGTGACCAGTGAGGACCACTGGACTCCGCCCTCCAAGCACTAGCCCCAAGCCCGAAGTACTGCACAAGTAGCGCAACACCCTCTTCGCTGCAGCCATGTGCTCTGGTCGGTGTCTCCCAGGAGCAACATAGCGCGCCAGAATGCTCAGAGGGGTCGGCCAGGGAGACCGCAACCGGCCGACTGAGCAGCGAAGGGTGGTGCGGTCTCGAAAGAAGGAGCGGGAAGCACCCGAGTCGAGGGTGAAGGTGTGAAAGACCTGAGCCGACTCGGTACCTGAGAGAGCAGACTCACCAGCACCTAGAGCAGCAGACTCACGAGTACCTGGAGCAGCAGACTCACTAGCACCTAGAGCAGCAGCCTCAATACCAGGGTCAGGCGGAACACACACGTAACAGTCACCCTCAGCACTAATAGACACAGCATACATGGCAGCAAGAATAGCATCAAAGTCAAGATCAAAGATAGCTACCCCCGACCTGAGCAGATCTCCCCAACGAGGGATCTCAGTGGCGTTCGGGAACTGGGCACGCCAGGCGTCCGTCAGGCGACCGAAGCAGCGCTGGGTGGCGTGCAGGCCGCCACACTGCTCTCCAGTGCGGTCACCGGTGCGCAGGACGTAAGTACAGGGACCAGCACCCCCAGACCCCAGGCGCCCCGCGTACCACTCACGAAGCTGCTGGGGCGAAGGGGTCTCACGAGAGCGCTGCTGCTGCTGGGGTCCCCGCTGCACAGCTCCGCCTCTACCAGCTCCACCTCCGCCGCCGCCGCCTCCGCCTCCTCCACCCCTCCCGCCACCGCCACCGCCGCCTCCACCTCCACCGCCTCCACCGAAGCCCCCACCTCTACCACCACCTCCAACCCCACCCCCTCCTCCGCCTCCACCGCCACTACCGCCGCCCCCACCACCTCCTCCAGCTCCCTTGCCCCGCTTGCCCTTGCTGAAGCGGCGCCTCTCACTAGGAGCAGACGCAGCGCTGACCGACTCGGTTCCAACAAGGTCGACAGCAGCAGCAGAGGCAACAGAGGGCAAAAGAGGAACGGGGGAGCACCCCTCAAAGAAAGGGGTACGGGGGTCACCACGAGAGGCGCCTACAGCGGTGATACTAGTCTCTACTGCAAGGAGGCGCTCCTCGAGGAGGTCGACAGTGAGGGTGGTAGGGCAAAGAGAGAGGAAGTGGTCCCTGACCGAGCGGAGAGTGTCAGGGAGTCGAGTGACTAGGTAGTAGAGGGTGATGTACATGGGGGGGGGGGTTCTGGGCGCAGAACTCAGCAGGAAGCGCAGCGCGGTAGCGAGTGTCACTAGTGCGGAGGTGCGTAATGAGGTCAGTGACTGTGGCAAAAGCAGCGAGGTCAGGGAAAAGGTACGGTAGCATGAGGCGACTGAGCGCAGCAGTGGCAGGGGAGGAGTAGCGTGCAACTACTGCGTCGTACAGAGTCTTAGCACTCTTGTACTGACTAAAGTGCGCGCGCTCAGTAGACGGTAGGTGACTACGCACAGCAAGGCGGGCAGCAGCATCGCGCGTGAGCCACTGCGAGCGAACGGTACTGTCAGCATCAGCAGCAGGGGCAGTAGAGGCACCCGACGTAAGATCAAACAGGGAGAGACCATCCTTGCTATCGCACTGAAGGAAAAGCTGCAAATCATCTAGCCAGACATCAAAGTCAACCGCTCGACCCTCAGCATCAAAGGTGAGAAGACTAGGACTAGCCATGCTAGGAGCAGCAGCAGACTAGCAGCAGCAGTAGTGCAACTGGGCGAGGCAGGACAGTGCGACTCGGCAGGGCAATTAGCAAGGCAGTGCGGCTCGGCCGCGCGGCTCGGCCCGGCTAGGCTCTTACCAGGGGCGGAACGATAGGTCCGGGACTGGGTCGGGGCCGTGACAGGGCCGGGACAGGGTCGGGGCCGAGCAGGGTCCTGGACGGGGCAGAAACGGGGCCGGGACAGGGTCAGGGCCGGGGCAGGTCCGGGACAGGGTCGGGGCCGAGCAGGGTCCGGGACAGGGCAGCAACGGGGCCGAGACAGGGTCGGGGCCGGGGCAGGTCCGGGACGGGGTCGGGGCCGGGGCAGGACCGGGACGGGGCCCTTTAGGGGCGGCGTAGGGGCCGCGTAGGGGCGGCGGAGGGGCCACGTAGGGGCCGCGTCAGGGACGGGGCCGGGCCGGGCCGCGTAGGGGTGGCGTAGGGGCCGCGTCAGGGGCAGAGTAGGGGCCGCGTCAGGGGCGGCGTAGGGGCCGCGTCAGGGGCCGCGTCAGGGGCCGCGTAGGGGCCGTGTCAGGGGCCGCGTAGGGGCCGCGTAGGGGCCGCGTCAGGGGCCGTGTCAGGGGCCGCGTAGGGGCCGCGTAGGGGCCGCGTCAGGGGCCGCGTAGGGGCCGCGTCAGGGGCAGCGTAGTGGCCGCGTCAGGGACGGGGCTGGGTCGGGCCGCGGCAGGGGTGGCGTAGGGGCCGCGTAGGGGCCGCGTCAAGGGCCGCGTAGGGGCCGCGTCAGGGGCCGCGTAAGGGCCGCGTCAGGGGCCGCGTAGGGGGCGCGTAGGAGCCGCGTCAGGGGCCGCGTAGGGGCCGCATCAGGGGTCGCGTAGGGGCCGCGTCAGGGGCCGCGTAGGGGCCGCGTCAGGGGCCGCGTAGGGGCCGCGTCAGGGACGGGTAGGGGGCGTGCTAGGGGCCGCGTAAGGGCCGCGTAGGGGCCGGGTAGGGGCGCGCTAGGGGCAGTGTAGGGGCCGCGTAGGGGCCGCGAAAAAAAAATTTAGGGCAGGGCGTTGGGCAGCTAAAAAAAAAAATATGGTGGGCCCTTAGGAAGGAACGGTCCCATGTGGGAACCCGCTCTATACCATGTGAAAGGAACAACAGGAATGAATGAACTAGGAAAGTGTGAGATACAAATATGAAAGCTGTACCCCTTAGTGTCTACCCCACTACAGCCTACATAGGCTAAGGCATATATATCTGACAGGGCGAGCTTAGTGGGAGCCTCGGTCGTGGCCGTGCGTACTTACGAGAGAGCACTTCGAGCGGCGGTGCTTGTTCGCTGAGAGACGTCTACCCCCCCCCAAAAAATGAGATAGTGGGGAAGTGATGGTGTGGGTGCGATCCCAGAGAAGATCGTAGGCTCTTAATACCAAGTGTTACGAGTGCATTTTGAGCGAGCGAGCGAGAATTGCACTATCGAAGCAAAACAGTACAATGAGCGAAGGAATGAGCGAGAACTAAATAGCGAAGGCCACTGTGGTAACGGTAACGAACTGTGGTTGACGCGCGACGGGCCTGTGACTGAGGTCGGGACTGAGGTTGGGAAAGTGTCGAAGCGGAGGCCCAAAGTGCGGGTTACCAGCCGAGCCGGGAGGCTGGGTTGCGACGTGCGAAGTGGCTGGAAGATTGTCGAAGCAAGGGTCGCGAGTGGAAACGGTGCCGAGTGTGGTGAGAACAGTAATGTACGCGTTACGCAGGGATGCGGCGTAAGGAAAAGGAAATTTCCTTACATAGTTCATATAATTCACTTCGTGTAGAATCCCCCGCATCTCACGGCGATTCAAACAGTTTTGGGGAGCAGACTACACGAGTCAAGTATTTTTCTGGGTGATGTGCAAAAAGTGGCGGTTTTTGAAGGGTAGATGGTTCACATAAAACTCAGACTCCACCGAAATACTAAAGGAATTCTGATCTGGAATACCCTACTCAAAACCAGACTCTCAGTGCAGATTTAGAGTTCGATGCTTACTTGCAACCAGGATTCCTGGTCTTGGGTGAGGTCACATTCCCCTAGCGCTTCCTTTTCCAGTTCCCAGTTCCCACAACCACTACTGAATCTGGAAACGGGATCCCATTTTCCACAGGTCTCAGCTCGGGCAGTCAGGGTGAAAGAGAAATGTGTACGGCTTGTGAAATACCACGACTTGTGAACACGATCAATTTTGCTCATAACCATTCAAGCAGACAGTTTTGTTATTCATATTTATCGCACTAGGAGCGTGTGTAACACACCACACCACCCAACATCCACTTCGTAGTCAAGTGACTCATCCAAATGAATTGTTGGTTGGGAACGCGTCTCACCATACTTCTCGATGGTGATTCGCTGAGGTTTCCGAATCGCGATGGCGACTGTGCCAAGCATGGGAAACTCCGCTTCAGCCAGCCCACATCCACCATATTCCACCCCTTCACACCATACAAATACCCACGCCCTTTTCCTTACCAACACCAGTCCCACATTTCGAATCTCTTGATTCACTCTCTTTCAGCTCCCTGCATCCTCTTCACTAGCTACTAGTAGAAATCATGGCGCGCCTGCTTACTGCTCTCGCTCTACTTCTTGCCATCATCGTCACTCTCGCATCATTCGTTTCTACTGCTGCTGCTCAATCTGTTCGGATTCATGGCAATGGGATGACTGCCGATGGTAAGTGGCAGACTTGTGCGATGGTAAGTTGCAAACCTGTGCGATGGCAAGTCGCAGACCCGTGCGATGGCAAGTTGCAGACCCGTGCGATGGCAAGTCCCAGACCCATGCCATGCCATGCCATATCAAGCCGTGCCACGCCATGTCATGCCATGCCATGTCATGCCATGCCATGTCAAGCCGTGCCATGCCGAGCCGTGCCATGCCGAGCCATACCGTGCCGTGCCGTGGGTAGCATGCCGTACCCCTCTCACCTCGTTGCTTCATGGCCTGTCCCAGCCCCGACAGCACAGCAGCCTACCGCCTGCCCCCTGCCCCTTGCACACCCCATTTTCCCCTTCCTCCCTCCCTTCCAAACCCATATTTCCCTCTCGCCAAACACCCACCTCGTCCGCCACTTGTTTCATGGCCTGGCACAGCCCAAACAGCACAGCCGCCTAAGTCAACCACGCGCCCTCTTATCCCACACCACCCACTTCCCCCTACACTCCCCCCTTCCGCTCCCCCCTCCCCTTTCCCCCTCACCTCATCCGCCACTTGCTTCATGGCCTGGCACAGCCCTGACAGCACAGCCTCGCGGTCAGGTCCGTCACGAACCAGCAGGCGAGGTCCGGTGGCGGGGGTGAACGGCACGCAGGACTGCAGCTTCGGGTAGTACGAGCCGCCCGCCCTCATGAAAGCGTTGGCCCACGAGTGGTCGAACACGTACTCTCTATAGGAGTGGCTATGAGGACGCAGAGGAGAGGGAAGGAGGAAATGAAGGCTCCTATTATCGTCCACTGTATGAAGCCTTTTGAGGCGCCTCAAAAGTCCACTGTAAGAAGCCACGCAGCCTCGGGTAGTACGAGCCTCCCGCCCGCATGAACGCAATCGCCCAGGAGTGGACAAACACATACTCTCCGTAGGAGTGGCTGTGGGGACGAGGGGAAGAGGGGAAGAGGGAAGGAGGAAAGGGAGAGGTGTCCATTGGAGAAAACCACACAGCTTCGGGTAGTACCAACCTCCCGCTCGCATGAACGCATTGGCCCACGAGTGATCAAACACATACTCTCCGTAGGAGTGGCTGTGGGGAAGAGGGGAAGGTAAGGGAAATATTGCTATCTACTCAAGGAAAGCGACACAGCACTTGGCCTGCTACGAGTCTCCCAGCCTCATTACAAGATTTAACACCAACCGTGGGTAGTTCACGGCACACCCTCACATGACCACAGCACACTTACCCCTTCAAATACAGGGGCAGCACGCCAACTGCTCTCTCCTCAGCGTCCCTGGCAACGAGGTGCTATGGTAACCACTCCTCCTCGCGGCACTACTGTAACAAAACCACAAACACACGTACCCCTTTAAATACAGGGGCAACACGCCAACCACCCTCTCCTCGGCGTCTCTTGCCATGAGGTGCTGTGGTAACCACCCCTCATCGCGACACGCACTTCTGCTCTCCTCCAGGCACAGCAGGAACGCGTGTGACACAAACGGATTGTGCTTCTCCGCACCACCCTCACCACCACCAATTGCTGCTCCTGCTGCTGCTTGCTGTTAGGGTAACCAGCGCTCCTCCCAGCACCAATCCCAACATTCTAAGACACACCCTTTCCCTTACATGAACGCACACGCACACTTACCCCTTCAAATACAGAGGCAATACTCTGACTACCCTCTCGTCGGCATCTCTCGCGACGAGGTGCTGTGGTAACCACCCCTCCTCACGACACGCGCTTCTGCTCTCCTCCAGGCATTGCAGGAACGCGTGTGACACAAACGGGTTGTGCTTCTCCGCGCCGCCCGCCGCGTCCAGCGCACAGGCGTCCCAGTCAGCTGCGGGGATGGAGGCGATGGAGGAGGAGACCGTGACTGTAAGGGCCGTCGCTGTAGTAGGGGGTTCCTGTACACGTGGCAACGGGGACAGAAAGTGAAGGGTGGATGGGTGGATGGGTGAATGGGGTTCAACAGTCAACAGTCAACACTCCACTAGCGCACAAGCATCCCAGTCAGCAGCAGGGATGGAGGCGATGGTGGAGGAGACTGTGACTGTAAAGGCCGTCGCTGTAGCGGGGGGGTCCTGCACTTGTAGCAAAGGAAAATGGAAAGGGGTGGAAGGAATATGTGGGGGATTCATGGGTGGGCGTGTCTTCCCTGTCTTCCCTCCACAAGCGCACTGCACAGGAGACGATTTTTTAGGCGCCTAACAAATCTTCCCTGTCTTCCCTCCACTCCTCAAGCGCACTGCACAGGCGTCCCAGTCAGCTGCAGGGATGGATGCGATGGAAAAGGACAATGTGACTGTAACGGATGTCGCTGTAGCGGGGGGGTTGGGGGGGAGGTGTGGGGGTGGGGGTGGGGGTTGGGGGGGGGGGGGGGGGGGGGGGGGGGGGGGTGTCGCACACGTGGCAGCGGGATTAAAGAGAGAGAGGGTTGAATGGAATCAAGAGGCGCCTATAAACAGTTTATAGGTGCTTGCACCCGTTAATAGGTTCGTTTCGCACACGGGTGCACGCACTGCACGCATCAATTTCGAGAGGAGAATGCACAGTTTTCACATATGCGTCGACGACTCATAGCAATTCCCACTCACTCCTGCCCGCAACCCGCTTAGTTGAAATAACTTTTGAGAATTCTCAAAAGTATACCGTTTATGAACAAATGCACGCACTGGACATCTGCAAAGGCGACTCATAGCGATTTCCACTCACCCCTGCTCGCAGCCCGCTTCTTTCCGTCTCCTCTACCGCCGCCGATCCCGCACCCCCGACCAATGCGCTCCTAATGCGCTGCGTTTTTTCGCCCTGCTGCTGCTGCTTCTCCTGCTCCTGCTGTCAGGGCCAAAGCGCGGCTGATACGGGGATCGGACGAGAGTGGATTTGACTGCGGCTGTGATTGGAACGAAGGTGACTGTAACCATACTGTGTTTTTGCGGCGTAATTATGGCCGCCGACGGGAACGCCGAAAAGCGGCACCGACAGCAGAGACGAATGCGCTGCAACTTGAATTTGCTGGGTCGATCTTTGCCGGCCTTGAACCGGCGCTCGGCATCGCGGTTGATGTGCGCGAAACGCCTCGCTAACTTCGCCAATGGAGCGGTTACTATGTATCCGCGCGCGCGAATCAGCGAATAGCGGTTTAAGCGCTTGGTTGGAAGCGACGAGAGTCACGGAACTCATGGAGAAAGGTGACTCGACGAGTAAGTAACCCTGAAATTTAGGAACCCCGAGAATCCACCCTTTTTCGTATTCTAGCTGCGACACCGAAGAGGTTAACTTCAACCGTTCGAAATTTTGGTACGAGAAATTCGCCTCAGTATGTCACAGAACCCATGCTGGAATCGGATCGGCGAGTTGGACATTCTCAGCTGCGCACGGGGGGGGAGCAGCGTCGAGAACAGTCGACGCTGGGAAAGGGTGGCTTTCTTTCCGAAAGTAGTATGGAATAAAGTGCAGCGGAGAACGACGCAAGCTGACTTGTTGTACTCCGAATACTACTAAATTCACGTATGAGAAGTAGACGCCAGCTTCGACGTGCCCAAATTTATGCATGAGTCTTCAGGAACAATGAGGAAGCAAAGCAATATGTGCTGTCACAGGGAGTGAGACAACCGCCCAAGGCTTGAAAGCCAGACTAGGAGGAATCAGGAAGCATTTCACATCTTATGGATAAGGCGCGTACCCATAAGCAAAATTTATTCGCTCTCTGAGAATGTGTCATTCAAATCCATTTCAGTATCACTGCACAATTTCCTTGATGTGTGCGACCACGGGACAGGAAGCGACATCTGGAAACTGCTCTGTTCGGAATGGCCATCAAATAATGAAGGTGCGTGCAACCAAACTCAGTACAAATCAACATGTAACTGGGTACCTCTCTGTGAACTCTCTGTGACTGGTCCGTATGGCTCAAAATTTGGGGTTTCTGATTCACCATGTCAGCATGATGCCACGTGTACCAATAATTGGATTCGTGAGGCGTATTCAGCAGTACTGCTTAAACATCCCCGTGTCTCCTGTTACTTCATTATGCTCACATGTTGATCAATACTAATTACACTTTTTTTGCACCAATTGAAGGATCCCAGATTTCACTTTTCATTTTCATTGTTGCACCTACCTACCATAGCAGACTATTTCACTGATTGAAGAAAAAATACCACAATAAGTAGAAAAACCAGAATAAATGCTGATTTTACGTAGTATTGTAGGAAAGGCTGAATCATAATTGTAGAATTATAGGAAATTACTGATTTTTCAGTGAGTGACTTAAAATACTATTGAATGGTGCAAAAACAATATGATATTGGACAGTGTCCTGATATCATTTGTTTCTTGTACTATAATTTAGAATTTATATTACTCTATAGATGGTCTTACAGTTTAGCAAAACATCTCAAAACAGAATTGTGTAGCTCATATAATGCACTGATGCTTTTCCCCGCATCTGACAGCGATTCAAACCGTTCCCTCAGGCGTAGAGCACGAGAGAAAAAATATTATCCTGGGTGATGTCCACGAGCTCTCGGCTGCTCAAGGGTATGGAAGGTTATACCACGCCTCGGATGCTGTGAAGGGGTCGGGGCTTGAATCTGGTCCTTAACTAAAAGAAACATGCGTTCAAAACCGAAGCGTCATTGACGATGGAGTACGACGATACTTCTGAGAAAATGCAGAACCACTAGGCATGTAAAATTGGGCAGTCTGGGTGGAACTGAAATGTCCACAAATCATCATCAAACGGCACACATTCTTGTGAATGCGGTCCATTCTGGCCAGCAAGGTGTTTGTAATCAAGCGAACCGTGTCGCATCCCTAGTTAGCGCACTAAGAACGTGTGCACCGTACCACACCATCTAACATCCAGTAGTCAATTGATTCATTAAGAATGAACAATTTTGTTGGAACGCGTCTCACTGACCTTCTCGATGGTGATTCGCTGAGGATTGCGATTCGCGATGGTAGCTGACTGCACTGAGCATGAGCAACTGCGCTTCAGCCCATTCACATCCAGCACGATCGACCCCCTCACACCATACAAATGCACACTCGAATTTTCTTGAAGAACCAGTCCCACACCCAAGCTCTTCATTCACTTCGTTTCCAACACTCTTCTGCATTCTCTTTACTAGCTCGTAATCATGGCGCGTCTGCTTACTGCTCTCGTTCTCCTGCTTGCCGTCACCGTCACTCTCGCGTCACTCACTTCCACGGATGCTGCTCGATCTGTTCGGCTTCTTGGCGACGGGATGACTGCCGATGGTAAGTAGTAAACCTCATTTATAACCGATGATTTCCCGTGCGATGTTTACGCACGTGCGATGGTAACGCGCATCTCCGTGCGATAATGACGCGCAGCTGGAAAAGCCATAGATTTGCTCCACGCGATAGATCCGCTTGTCACTCTCACTGTCAATCCCGCCCCATCGGTCCCCTCATCACTTCCCCCTGTCCCCTCGTCCCCTGCGCGAATCTACGTGTCGCCATGGCGTGAACCGCAGGTGCCTCGGAAGCGGTACACACCACCGGCGTTATCACGGCGGAGGGCGCACCGAGTTTTGCTCAGTCCAGCTCGGGGAACGACGAGCAGAGTCGCCGCAAACTGGGGTGGTTGATCGATACTATCAAATGGGTCAATGACAGAAGAAACAGTAAGAATGATCATGCCAAGCCCTCACAAGTACTTAGAGATTCTTTATTTCCTGCTCCCCGTAATGCTGTGCCCTGAAGGAATATATTAGAGAGCGTAGCGATAGCGAGAGAGTCTCTGCTATGGGAATGATGTTGCGCCAGCAACTTGGTAGAGTTTTGGTAGCGTTTGCCTCTAAGGACTTTGTGAGAATTGAAGTAGCATTTGGGCCAAGTAGAATTGCAATATCAATTATCAAACACACAAGCAAACACAAACATATATAGGCAAGCAAGAGTTGCACAATTGTTGCGTGGCGCTGCGAGTAACCTAACCCACACGAAAGTGCTGTGCAGGTGGGTGAACGCGCCCCGCACATTTCCAACCCAACTCGGCACCGGAATGTCTCACCGTGCACGCTACTCCTGCCAACACAGCAAGTGAGCAGCGTGCCTCACAAGCAAGGCACCTACGACCCCCAAGACTCGTCATTCCTAGCACCGATTCCGCCGAGTTCGCTGCAGTAGCTCACAGTCACCCGTAGTCACTATTGACCGCCACCGAACTCGTGCGTCGGTGCCGAGTAGACTCAGTCGTTAGGCGCCGACCTGCCAAGTCAAAGGTCATCGAGGGCCCTTGCTGTCGTAGGGCCCTCTAACACTCCCCTGCCATACTACAGCAAGGCCCTTTATAATCACAGGGCATGCATACACACATACACACCAAAACAAAGGGATACACACAAACGAAACACGCTCAAAGTGTAAACACGCACCGCACCAGCCATGGATAGGCCATGGCACCATCCACATCATGGAGTGTCTAGGTCTTCACTCCCCTCACTCGAGAGCCGCACCTGCCCCACAGCCTCGAAGCAACGACTGAAGGCGGGGAAATGCAATGCCTTTGTGAGGTAGTCAGCAGGCTGCTCGCTCGTAGGGATGTACTGCAGCTGCAGCTTCCTGCGCTTGACCATGTGCTGCAGCCACATGTGACGACGCTCCATGTGCTTGAGGCTCCCCTTGAGCCCCATGCCACCTGCCACTGAAATGGCGGAGGAGTTGTCCACAAAGAGAGTCGTGGGCTCCTCACTCCTCAGCAGTTGAAACTCTGCCAGCAGGAAGCGCAGCCTGCGCGCCTCCTTCCCAGCCTCCACAGCAGCAACGTACTCAGACTCAGTGGAGGAAAGGGTGGCGCAACGAATCCGCTGGCTCGCCCATGAGACAGTAGCACCCCCGAGCACGAAGACATAGCCACCTGTGCTGGTCCTGTTCTGCTTGTCCCCTGCATCATCAGCATCGGCGTAGCCCACCAGCTCCAAGGACTCCGGCCCACCACCAAACTCCAGCGCCACATCCCTGCTCCCCACCAAGTACGTCAAGCACCGGTCCAACTCCTTCCAGTGCTGATCACTCCGCACAGTCTGGCCCGACCCCAGCTTGCTGCAGGCGAACGAGATGTCGGGACGGGTGGTACAGGCCGCGAACTGCAAGGATCCCACCTTCTGCC